CTCAATATTGGGCTGTACGGGCTATATTACTTCAAGTTCTGTTAGTCTTCAATCTGTGGATTTCTGATAACTGCCTAATGCTCTGAACATTCCCTGATGATCTGGCTTTTTATTCAACTGATCTTTTTTTGATTGTTACTTTTATTTTCATTCAGTTAGTTCTCCACATAGCTGTTGTTGTTTGAGATTCAAGTCACCTAAGGTCATCGTGAAACACTTGGACATCTAATAAATGCTAACTTTCGCGTTTTCTTCACTGTTGTCCTTTACGCGACTGCTTTTCACACTTCTGCTATTTTCTTTTTTCGATGTAATATTCGGCATGTTTTTCTTTCAGACTGTGGAATGCTTGCCACCACTGACGGATATGCTCAGCTGAACGTTGTCAAACAGGAAGCCACGATCACGATTCCCAGTCGAAATACTGAGGTCGATTCGGTACAATTTGCCCCAAGGTAAGCTTTTACTTAGAGGTCTTCGCTTTTATTTCTGATTTTTTTCTTTACTCCGGTCTTGTTTTTAATATCTTTTTCGTATTTCTATACATTGTCAAAAAACAAAATTGGAGCGTTCCTGGCTTTTCAGCTGCAAAATTTTATGCATCCCCTTCCCTTCACCGCACGGCGGTATTTCTGGAGTAAACTCGAGAATTCTTAGAAGAAAGTGGGAGACGTTGTCGGAAGTTATGGGAGTTTGGGGAGAAGGTAGGTGGGATGGTGGAATGGGAACGAGGGGGGGGGGGTCGTATTTCGCAAAAATTCCTCAAAGCAGGTCATGCCTTACCTATAACGTGCCTTGGTTACTGCTTCATTGACCTACGGTGGGATAGACCGTTCAAATATACATACATTGATTTACTTGGTTTTTAGATATAATTTTTATTGTGGTATTTTTGTGTTCTTTGAAATTGAATGTCGAGTTGGGCTTAGCAAGAGAAGCGCGATCGAATGCCAGTTTCATGGAAATATCTTCTGGGAATCACTCTTTCAGTTGCCCTCTCCAGGGTATTCGAACTTTTTCCCTTCACAAAAGCTGGTAGTTAATGATGAAAAACTAATTATACTTACTCTCTTCACTGCTACACTGTCGTACATTATACTCTCAGTGAGGGGGGGGGAGTTGTATATGTCTTTCGGAAAATGTTGTTGGTTGATGACTTTTCTCTAATTTTCCTGTTTCAAGTACGCTACATACGCTGTGCCCCAACTCCCTCCCCCCCCTCACGCTCGACGGGAGCTTTTTTGAGGGGAAAAGTGGAGGTACTCAGAAAGGAAATTCTAGAATAGTGGTAGAAGTTGGAGATGTTAGGTAAGATGAGGAATGGAGGAGGATCTGAGGGAGATTTTGCGGAAATTTCTCCCACGGCAGTACATTTCCTGATAAAGCACCCCCTCAGAGGCCGCAGAAAGCATTTTTGAATAGATAGCTTATATAGCCATGTCTGCGAAATTACAGAAAAGATCCGTAATTAGGACCGCAAATATTCTTGAACCGCAGATAGCTCTTGGGGCAGGGGCATGTTGCACTTTAGCCGTCGACGTGTTCATAAAAGAAATGACAAGCCGTTTGTACAAACTTTGGCTGTTCTCACTGCATGGGTTCACAAGATTTCAGTCTCTGCTTAATGGCAAGTAAAAGTATAAAAAGTCGAAGACGCCCCTTCCACCTAACAACCATGTAACCCGTTATACAAAAATTTTCCATGGGTTCGTAAACTATGCCGTTTTAGATAATATTGTAGGAATCTGCAAAAAAAAACTTTATCCTATCTCAGGAGCAAGTAAGGTCCTATTTTTGCGTTTTGCTTATCAATATTTTTCAGCTCGGTGTCCATCTATAATGAAGTGAACAACACGCTGAGAGCACCGAAAAGGCCGATCCAGTCTCAAGAACTTGTGGTTTCACGAGGAGCAGTTAATGGCCAAGTTCGTGCCGAATACCCCGTGAAAGTTTGTCCAACCACTTATGCAAGTAGCATACTACGAGGTAATTTCCGTTTGTGATCAGTTTGAGGTTTTTCCGGTGCAGTTCGGCTTGATGGGGGCATCAAATGGTGCTCAGTCAGATTTGTTAGCCACATTGTGAAGACCTGTCATTTCTCTGAGAAAGTGATCCACTCGCTCAATATCGCGGCTTCACAGCAGTTCCCGGGTCTGGAAAAGTGAGACTTGTTGATACTTGTTAATTCATAAGAACCAACAAAGGGAATTACCGAAGGTGGAAAATGCCCCCCTGCTAGCCGAATAGCGTCCGTCTTCTCTACAAAATTTTGTTGGTTATCTTCGGGAGACATTTTTTATTCAGAAAATTACCTTATTCTTTGTTCTCACTTGTTTCCCTTGATGAAGTGTTTCGTTTTTCTATACATTATTTAAATGAATACCTTACAGGAAACAGTTGGACAGTCCAGGCGAGCAGCGGCCAACAAATTCAGTCGCAATACCAGCAAAACTCCCTGAATGGCAGAATTCGCCCAAGTACTGCCCCTGCTTTAGAAGAAGCCCTTTCTACCACGCCTGTCAAAACCTCAACACAGTACGGTATCACTGCCAGTATTGCAAGGCCAAGGTAAATTTTGATCGCACTAATTGTTTTGAGTGACAAAAAGCTATCCAGCATAGCTGAGAAGAACAACTTTGTGGTAGTATCCTTATTACTATTTAGAGGGTTTACAATCTGTAGGAGTTCAATGCCGTTTGCTCCCTGAGTGCCAGAACTGATGTAGTTCTTTTTCCAAATAAAGTCAAAGTAGTCGACTGAGGTAGGCAGTCTTTCTCTGGGCATCTTAAATCTTATCAGATGAGCGAAAACCATATCAAACTTTATGCATTTATCATTATCTATCATCAAGAAACGGATACATACACAGTTAGGCAAGAAGAAGAGTACACATCTTTGCTACTGTACCGTGTACGCGTTGAAGCAAGGTGTACGAGTAAGGCTTTGGCAGCGTCATTCCGCTAGCGACTAGCACAACCGTCAAGGCACATCCCGATCTACACGCACAGCCACACGCGCTGTTGCCATTGCACGCCAAGATACAGCAGCCTCCGAACGTGCTGATTAACAGCGCGCACGCCAGACCCCCGGGACTGCAGCATCTTTCGAACTTGTTCCGTGGCTCAAGCTCAAACCTTGCGCGGTAAACGGCTTGTTCGCTTGGATCAGAATCTATACTTCCTAGCTTGCTGGCGTAGTGTGTGCGTTGGCGTACGCTGACGCAATGTGATGACCGCAGCACTCATCTGTCGAAGTCTGAGCGGGCACTGGCTCTTTAGGCTTAAGTCAAGCCACTTTATCGGATTGAGTAATTACCATTATTTAAGTTAACAATGGAACACCAAAAATGTAGGCCTATTCGAAACAGTTTCTAGTTTTACACCTCATCTGCATCTATGTTAGCCGTGTTTCTAAGAGGTGTTGCTGTTAAAGGCATAATTCAGTATTAATCTAGAACTCCGGTCTAAAATGGTAGCAGGGGTGCTACATAGTGAGAAAATGGCGAAAAAGCGAAGAGAAAAGGGTCAAAATTCTGCAGGAAAGCCTTTGTTCTACACGACATAGAAAGCTATATTGGACGAGTTTCCGTTGGCATCATGCCAATAACTGCTACGGCAGACACGGCTGCATGTATGTGCTTAGATATCTATGAAGCCCATCAACCGCTTCATACTGTACTTCGCAAATGAAGCGATACGAGCATCAGCTTCGGTCGGACGTTTTTTGACGGGCGGGCGCGGGGGCGTCCGGGTCGGTGTGTTGCAGCTTGATAGGCTTAGGAAAGGCGCTTCGCAGCGTCTGCTCATTTTTCCTGTCAGGCATATTATTCCTGCACGCCTTGCTGATCTATGCCGCTTGCCTTTGACCCTGATCTTCATTTCAGCGGAACGACACGCAAACCCGATAGACGATGGGTTGACGAAGACATTGCTCACTATGGAGCCATTGAAGAAAATTGTGATTTTGATGAATGGATAAACCGGGTTAGTTAAAATTATGTTTATGCTTATTGGATAACCTTTGAACAGCTGCCAATCGTTCAGGTTGATGTTTCAAAATTTGCGACAGATATTAGTGATGATTTAATGTCAAGGCCGAAACTAATCAAGAAAGAGAGGGTGAGTTTTCCGTTTTTTTTCTTTTAACTCTCCTGTTCCTAATGTTCTTGTTCTTCAGAATCCTGCTGTTAGTAGTCCATACCCAAAACCAGGATGGTCATATTCGAATCTTATTGCATTAGCCTTGAAAAATAGCGATACTGGACAGCTGACTGTGTCGGAGATTTATGCGTTCATGCTGTGAGTGAAATGTTTGTTTTTTTTTAATTTTTCAACATTATCTCATTTGCTTTTGTGCCTGCTGGTTCATGCACGCTTATGTTTTGCTTGTGAGCTTTGCTATTGTTATTGCCTTAACCCTCCAAGCTCAGTTTGGTCCTTTTAGCGAACATTTCCCCTATTTTCGAACTGCACCAAATGGATGGAAAAATTCTGTTCGTCACAATCTCTCTTTGAATAAGTGTTTTTGCAAAGTTGATGTGAGTTTTGAGCTTTCTATTTCTTTTATGGCTGTATTATTGTCTGTAGAGACTTAGGGGTGCGTTCATATTTTGCGGTAGGGTTTT